AAAAAATAAGTCATATTCGGTATCTCCTGTCCGCCACGGACATGACTTTTATAGAACGTAATTCGAATATAACTTATAACTTTTTTATTTATGGACCAAATTTAACGCAATTTTGCATGTAAATTCATTTTATTATTATAAAACATAGTATCAAGAAAAATTTATAAAAAAATTATTACTTTGTAAAATATAGGTCATATTCGGTATTTATAGTGATATCCGCGGATATCACTCATATTTCGTATTAAGTCATACCCCTGGGGTAATAAATTTAAGAAGGGTCGAAAATTCTAAGACCACAGATATTTGAGGGTCAAACCCAAACGCGGCTTAATCCGTCTATGTCAAATGTCACTTAGAAACTTTAAACATTTTAACACTAATGGGGAATCGTTCTTAACCATAAAACTTAATTTATCAGCGTTTAAACTGTTAAATCCATTTCCAGACAAAGAAAGACATCCCATTCACCAAAAAGTCTCGCACATGTACATTCAATAATTAACTTAAGTAGATTAAAGATTTGCAAAAAGGTCTTCACCTTTTTCATATTTAGATTTTTTAGACATGGCAAACACTAATATGAAAAAGGCAAAGCCTCAAAGCGAGCTTGATTTTTCTTTTACGGTGAAATAGTGTAAAATAATCAATCAGTTTTATTTTTACATTTTCCGTTTTAAAATTGTCATTCAGTATTATATACACTGTTCTGTTTATTCTTGTTCCCTGTCCTATTATGGTTCCAATAATATGAAAAAAGGCAAAGCCTCAAAGAGACCTCGATTTTCTTTTACCGTAAGATAGTTTAAAATAATCGTTCATTTTTATTTTACATTTTCCGTTTTAAAATTGTCATTCGATATTTTATGCACTGATTCCGTTTATTCTGGTTCCTCCTTTCTATTATGGTTCCTATATAAGTGCGCAGGACACCAGTCTACGCTTCCATTTTCAATCAGAGTACATCGGCTTTTATCGTTATATTGTAATTCGAAAAGTTGGGATGTGTCCAATTCGGTACTTCGGACGAAAGTTTTCAAAACCATCACTTAGCAGGTACTCGCGTTATCGTAAAGCTAGCTTTGCTCGAGCAGGCCCTTCGGGCCAGCTCGTCGAGCTCGCTATAATTGCGCAGGACATCAGTCTACACTTCTGTTTTCAATCAGAATACCTCGGATTTTATCTTTATCTTGTAATTCAAAAAGTTGCGATGTGTCAATTCAGTTCTTCGGATGAAAGTTTTCAAAAAATCTAGCGGGTACTCGTGTTACCGTAAGGCTCGCTTTGCGAGCAGGCCCTTCAAGCTCGCTATCACAGATATATAAACAACGGATAGGAAACTCCGAAAATAGACGAGAGTCCGATTCAGACCCACAATCCTTCGATGATAATATGGCTTTCCCGCTAGTCCCTCATTCTCACGCTATCGTTAAACTTTGGCCATATTTGTGACTTATTGCTTACTTTGCCGACATGGATATTCATTGGTGGAAAAGTGTGTTTTGTACATTTTAGAATACGTAACCATTACTTTTTATAAAAGTAAAAAATGTTAAGTTTTTTTTGTTGTTGTACCTCCGGGAATTCAATATGGTGGTATTTTGGCTACTTTTACCCAGGATGCATCAAATCTCGCAAAATCTCGCGACATGATAACTTGTGGGAACATGATTCCCCCGATACTGAATTTAACTGTGTGACGTCACAGTCTCTTCTCCATCTTATATTTAGCTCCACAGAGCAACAGATAAGATGCGTATTTGCGTATTTACGCAATTAATTTTATAAAATACGCAATTGATTATTTAAGAATGAGTATCAAAACCCATTTAAAAAAATAAAATACACAATTGTCTTAAAAACCCTTGCGTATTGTCATTTTCGTCACCGTAAAGTTAATCTGTCGTATGCTAGTTGTTTTGGACCAATAATATTGATATGCATGCTTTCCGAATATTCCTGAATCAATGCTAACTAATCAACGGTTTCCGGTCTTGGACGGTTCCCGGTCTCCAAAGACCGACTAAGCCATATCAATAAAGCATGAGACCGTCTATTTGTCTACTCAGGTCGACGGTCTTTACAGACCGGCAGAGACCGTTTATTTTGCGGAGACCATCAATAAGTAGGTCCCAGCTGTATCAATCAACGCTTCGAAAGCAATATGGCGTCATACAAAAGGGGAAATGATTTGAAACACAGACACTTGGGGTGTGGAGCTCAAAACGCATTTAAAATCCAAATAAAATGCATATTTGTCAATCCCAGCACATTTACTGATCATATATATCAAAAAAACTGAATATAAGCCGTTTTGAAAAAAATTCATATTTCAACGTCTATTATTATAGTAAATAATCAAAAATCAGTCAGAAAACGAACTTGTTAAAAATATTATGAAATATAACATGAGCATTTTATATAAAGCATAAAACACTTGTGAAAAGTTCTAGTAATTTGTTAATCCTATTTTCTTTATCATATTCATATCTTCATAATTGAATACCCAATTGATCTTGAAATCATAGGGTATCGAGTTTTGGAATACCCAATTAAATGGAGCCAATACCCAATTCCAAAGGAAATGATGGAGTAATACCCAATTCACTTTTAAAGCTTATCTGTTGCTCTGGCTCCATGACACTATACATGGTCTGTCACACACTGTAGCATGCTGGGATCTCTTCTTTGATTGCTTGGACAAGGCGCTTATAAATGTATTATGATGATAAGGATTAGTAAATGGAAATGGCTAGTAATATGGGCCTGTATGGCTAGCCAAAAGTTTTAGCCATTCGTGAGTCATGTACGACTAGCCAGGACACACTGTAATGGCTAGCCATAAGGCGCTTTTCAAAATTATATGAAAGTCGAAAATGCAATGTGGGAATTTTAACCAAGAAAAAGCAATTGTCTTCGTATGTTTACTTTTTAGAGACGGATCGCTATGTTGGCCAAAGAAAGTGTGAATATTGTTGTCAACTCCAGCTTACTTATGACAAGAAAAAAAGAGCGTTTAGTTGCAGTTGAATAACATCAATTGAAATAGTTTACAAAATTATTATAATAATCCTTTTTTGTTTCAATAAGTTTGATTTTCAACACCTTTAAAAATGAAGTAATTGTTGTTGGGCTCTGGTAATTGCATCAATTACTGACAGTGGAGGTTTGGCCATCATTCAGGAATGTTTGCATATTCTGTGAAACATATTCTAAATTTCTATTTTCATTCCCAGTGTAGGCTTTAATTAAGGCTAATTGATTGTGCTTATATGTGCGATATTTATCTACTGTATTTAAATATACAATTATACAATTGTTTTTGCTTTTCACGTTTTTTTTTTCAATGCTCTATTTGTTGACTTATTTATTCCACTCTGATTATGCCGTTATGAAACAAGCTTCTTTGGCCGTTGTTATTATTATTTATTCCATGTGCTTAATTAATTAAAAAAAAATGATTTAATAATTCATCTTTCATACAAATAAAACAACAAATCATAGGCATGAAAAATAACGACTTTATTACTTTGCATGCACATACACAATGTACTTTGTATAATGCATCATGCAAATTTGACACACTTATCAAGATTACAATGCTTGCATTACCTTCATATTCATTTTTATTTTACAAAATGGTGGAGCATCTTTATTAAAGTAAACACACGAGGACAAATGCGGGTACTTGGTTAAAATTCTGTTTAAAGACACAAAATAACAAATGCATATTCGAGTTTGATATAATTTTGAAAAGTGCCGTATGGCTAGACAATACAGTGTGTACGACTAGCCAGTTTCGTAATGAAATGTATTTATTATTATGATATTGTTTAATGAAAATGTGAATAATGGTATCAATTAACATTGGTTCATATGGCAGAAAGATTATTCAATATTCTGTCAAATGACAATAGAAAATCATTGTAAAATTGGAGGCTTAAAAATGTTTACTAAGCTTTAAGGTTTATCGAGGGTACTGTACAGTTTACATTTTTGAGTCTGCAATCTACTATATTGAGACATGACGTTAAATGGGATTTTTTTCAATTCACATGAAATTAATCAAACCAAGTTTATGAGTTATGACAGAGACAGATGTCCCAACAATAAAGTGTTAAAAGTTACTGAGAATTAACAGAGGCTGAGCATCAGCAATCATTTAATCAAATTTGTTTGCTGATTAAGTGTATAACATTGTAAAGACAGAATCACTTATTTTGTATAACCACTAAGCTTCTGTTAACGGCCAAGTAGCAAATGTTTATATAGGTCAAAGGTTACAGTCCTACAGTAGTCGGATCAAGACTCTATGTAGACCAGTACATGGTGTAAACATAGTAAATAAAAGAATTTACCATAACACAAACATTTTACTAGTAAATAAAAGAATTTACCATAACACAAACATTTTTCTTTCAGTTTATTATTCTTTTATTTAAAATTTTAAGTATCATTTAACTTCTGGCATGGTCACATCACATTATTTACTGCATCAGTAAAATAGGCAGTAAGTCCAGACATTTCTGCTGCAAAGAAACTACATGTATGGGATGATTTAGGTTATTAATTAAACAATTAATAAAGCCTGAAAGGAATGTTCATCTTTTTTTATATTGCCTTTGGGGAGGGGGGGGGGATTTTGATAAAACTTTTACAAATTTTACAAACATTTTATTTCTAAACAATGTCCAAAAAGACAAAAAGAAGGCCTACAGTACACTGAGCTTTTGTTAACTTCGCCATATTTCATTTTTCTTGTTTTATTAGCTCGACTTTTTTTGTTGGAAAAAAAAGTAGAGGTATTGTTACAGTCATGTCAGGGTTGCCCTTGTCATCTGCAAACTTGTACCTTGATCATAACTTTTTCAGTTTGTGGTGTATTGTCTTCAAATTTGGCCATAACAGCCCTTGGGACAAGAGCTTTCAGTAGACCAGACTAACCTTGACTTTCATCCATAAATGACCTTGACCTTCAAGGTCAAACTGGTTGGCCAGAAAGGCTAATAAAACCTGATTTTATTCCAGATACTTTTTACATGGAGCTTGTAGCAAAGGAGATAACTGTAGATTTTCCCATGATAGACGTGACAGAACAGACAATGTGTGCAAGTATTACCTGAAAGGCTGTTGTACATTTGCTGAAAGATGCAGGTAAATGATGATGTGACAAGTGTTTCAATTTCTTCTTCTTTTTGTGTGACCTCAAATTTAAATGTTTTTTTGCAATCTGTGTTCTCATATGTAAAATAAATTTGAACATGTATGCCAAGTGTTATTTTGAAGAAAGCATTAATACTAAGAAAAAATCTCTTGTGTTATTCAACACCTCCACCCACTTTTGGTTGACGGGGACACAATAAATCAGACTATACTATCTTTGTCATTGATAGCAATGTTTTTAAGCATGATATTGTTATGTTATCTCAAGTATGTATGAATTTGAGGAATATGATTTGTTAACAAAGAAATTATGTAGTGTATTTCTTCGATCAAATACTAATATAAAACTTTTAGAACAAAATACATGTATGTTAAGAAAACAAATTTAAATTTATAGTTTTATTTAAAAGCCCACTTTCACCTTAAACATGGAGGGGCGCACTGAATGCTTTACTCCATCATTATAATTTAAAGGTGTGACAAATTTGCCTTAAACAAAAACATTAAGATGATTGACTTTCTCACTTACAGGTATGACCACGTCAAACAAAAAGTAAATCAAACAAGTGAAACAATATTATCAAAACCAAGATCTACCATCCCTCCACCTTTGAAAGATACGACAGTTCCCACCAATGGCATGGTGTCATTAAAAAAAGTGCTTCATGGCTCGATAGACACACCAAAATCACCTAAACCCCCTGAAGACTGGGTAAATGCTACAGAATTTGTACCCGGACAACCGTATGTTTGCTCAAAAAGTAAGTACACAATGTAAACTGTTTGCTCCTTTTCTTCTAGGGACTCAAAATTGAAACTTATCAACTTTTCCTCAAGGTCTTAAGCTGTGACTGATTGTATGGCCTGAACCACTTTCCTAGAAACATTTATGTAATTAGGTGAAACATTTATGTTATTAGGTGAAACATTTATGTAATTAGTTTTGTTAAATGTTACTGATTCACGTTTAAATTCAGTTAGCATTTGAAAATATTTACTCAATGACATTAGATACAAAAAACCTATGGTATAAAGAAAATATCAAATATATAGAGTACCAAAATTAGCAGCTACAAAAAAATTTAAATGAGAAAAAAAACGTACCGGTAAGATGAATTGAGGTAACACAGAGCTAGAGATATTGACAATGACAGTATATCTGAAGCTGAAAGTCTTCTTCCTCCAATTCATGTTATTAATTAGGAAAGTTGTGCATAAAATATATGGAAAAAAGGCGTGGCTCAGAATGCAGAAACACTTATTTCAATGGCTGCCTGCCAGAAAATAACTAAAATGTAACAAACTTGTGTTGTTAAATAGCAAAATTTGCTGACAAAAGTATGAAGTTTAAATTTTAACAATAACCATCTTTCAAAACCTTTCCTTTTGTTTACAGTTCCATCATCTTATGCCAGTGCTGCGTCAGACAGTGCTAGTAATGAAGCCTTGACTATAGATGAGGCTGAGCAAATTCCTAGTCAATTACTTTGTCCGTTTTCTGCCAATAAGGAGTGTCGATACGGTGAAGATTGTCAATATATACATGGCAATATCTGTGAGTTGTGTGGTCTTGCTGTTTTGTTGCCAGGAGACAGTAAGCAAAATGAGGAACACAGAAAGGTAATTCTGATTTAGAGGTTGAATAGTTTTTAGCTCGACTATACGAAGTATATGAAGAGCTGTCCTACTCGCCCCGGCATCGGCGTCCAGATTTTAGATTAAAGTTTTGGTGCAGTAAAATATTTTTCACTATAACTTTGTCATTTCTTAAGGTATCAACTTCAAACTTCAAATATATGTTCCTTATCATCAACCACATCATATGTGACAAGGTTCATAACTCTAGCACCAATATTTTCAGATTTATCTCCCCTTGAACTTAGAATTTTCCTTAAAAAATACTATTTTTAACTGTTACTTCTTTATTTCTTAAGGGATCAACCTCATACTTCAAATATATGTACCTTATCATCATCCCTATCTTATGTGACAAGTTTCATAACTCTAGCACCAATATTTTCAGATTTATCTCCCCTTGAACTTAGAATTTTCCTCAAAAAGTACTATTTCTTACTGTTTCTTCTTTATTTCTTAAGGGATCACCCTCATACTTCAAATATATTTACGTTATCATCATCCCCATCTTATATGACAAGGTTCATAACTCTAGCACCAATATTTTCAGATTTATCTCCCTTTGAACTTAGAATTTTCCATAAAAAATATTTTTTTACTGTTACTTATTTATTTCTAAAGGGATCAGCTTCATTCTTCAAATATATTTACGTTATCATCATCCACATCTTATGTGACAAGGTTCATAACTCTAGCACCAATGTTGCAAGAATTATCTCCCCTTGAACTTAGAATTTTCCTTAAAAAATACTATTTTTAACTGTAACTTCTTTATTAGTCCCCTACCGGTTTAACCGGAGGGGACTTTAGGTTTACCCTCCGTCCGTCTGTCTGTCTGTCCGTCTGTCTGTCTGTCAGTCCGTCCGTCCACAAAACTGGATCCCGCGATAACGCAAAATGTACTGAAAATATTTTAATGAAACTTGATATATGGATAGATGGCAGTATGGAGATTATGCACGTCTTTTTTTTTTCTTCCTATGTTGAAAATTCTGGTTGCTATGGCAACAAATAGCCTGAAAATATGGCAAATTGAACACATAAACTGGATCCCGCGATAACGCAAAAAGTACTGAAAATATTTTTATGAAACTTGATATATAGATAGGTGAGAGTATGGAGATTATGCACGTCTTTTTTTTTCTTCCTATGTGGAAAATTCTGGTTGCTATGGCAACAAATAGCCTGAATTTCAAGATTTCTGATTTAAATTGTTCAGCTTTTTCACTATAAGTTCTTTATTTCTTAAGGTGTTTACTTCAAACTTTAAATATAAGTTTCTGGTCATCAACCACATCATATGTGACAAGGTTTACAACTCTAGCACAAAAATTATCAGTATTACCTCCCTTGAACTTAGAATTTTTATGAAAAAAAATGTTGTCTTTTTTAAATAACTTCTTTATTTCCTAATGTATCTACTTCAAACTTCATATATATGTTTCTTATTATCACTCAACATTTTTGAGAAGGTTAAATACTCTAGCAAGACTATTTCCAGAATTATGTCCCCCTTGAACTTAGATTTTTTTCGAGAAATTGGTATTTTTCACTCCAACTTCTTCATTCATTATAGGATTTACTTTAAAATCCCACATTGTAATAATATGACAAGGTTGTATAAACATAATTTCCTTACTAGGCAGGGAAACTTAACACATTACTGTGATATAGACAAACTTAGAACTCAAAAGATTTAAGTTCATTCATGTCATTCATTCACTGGTAAAATTGACTGGCCAATTGCCCATCAGAAAGTTGCTGGGGTTCTAACCGGTAGGGGACTTATGGATTGCTTGCAATACTATGATAATTGCTTGTTTCTTAAGGGATCAACCTCATACTTCAAATATATGTACCTTATTATCATCCCTATCTTATGTGACAAGGTTCATAACTCTAGCACCAATATTTTCAGATTTATCTCCCCTTGAACTTAGAATTTTCCTCAAAAAGTACTATTTCTTACTGTTTCTTCTTTATTTCTTAAGGGATCAACCTCATACTTCAAATATATTTATGTTATCATCATCCCCATCTTATGTGACAAGGTTCATAACTCTAGCACCAATATTTTCAGATTTATCTCCCTTTGAACTTAGAATTTTCCATAAAAAATATTTTTTTTACTGTTACTTATTTATTTCTAAAGGGATCAGCTTCATTCTTCAAATATATTTACGTTATCATCATCCACATCTTATGTGACAAGGTTCATAACTCTAGCACCAATATTGCAAGAATTATCTCCCCATAAACTTAGATTTTTTTACTAGAAAAATGTTATTTTTTATTATAACTTTTTTATTTTTAAAGGTATCTACCTCAAACTTCAAATACTTATTCCTTATCATCAATTACATTTTATGTGACAATGTTCATAACTCTTGAAGCAATATTTACACATTTATCTCTCTTTGAACTTAGGATTTTCTTTAAGAAATATAATAACTTCTTTACTTTTTAAGGTATCTACTTCAAACTTCAAATATATATTTCTTAATATTACACAAATGTTGTTTGACAAGGTCCATAACTCTAGCATGACTATTTCTAGAATTATTTCCCTTGATCTTACGGAACGTCGGTGGTTCTACTCAGGTGCCCGTTCGTGCCTGAAATAATGCACGGAAGGGCACATGAGGTCTTCCTCCACCAGTAAAGCTGGAACGTCGCGATATAACCTATACTGTGTCGATGTGACGTAAAACCCAATCAAAACAAACAAAATTCCCCTTGATCTTGGAATTTATGTTAACAAATATTATTTTTTTACTATAACTTAATACATAATTATACATAATTGATTTTTCTTTCATAGTTTTGTCCTCCTTACTGCGTCCAGTATTTTATTAGTCGAGCTTTGCTGTCTCCTGTGACAGCTCTTGTTAAAGGTAATTGTTTGGTTGCCTATTTTACTTGCTATGATTATGTGGAAAAAAATTCAACTTAAATTTTTTTTCCCAAAGTTTTGAAAATTTCAATTATGAAGCTATTTGTTTATGTAAAATTTTATTTATTTCAATATCTCACTGAAAGTGGAATTTGAAAAAAGTGTTGCATAGTGTCTGTTACTATAGGAAGAAAGTTATTCTTTTATTTTATAGTTTTAAATTTTAATAAATTACATTGATATGTACATGAAAAAACTCATAATATCTTTAAGAATTAAGAATATTGTTCTCATTACAATAGGAGTGTATGGAGCGACATGAAAGAGATATGGAGTTATCATTTGCTGTAGCTCGTAGTAAGGATAAACAGTGCGGTATATGTATGGACACAGTCCTCGAAAAGGAACCGAAGGCGGAACGGCGCTTTGGGATTATGTCCGACTGTATACATTGTTTTTGCTTAGCATGTATACGTAAATGGCGTGCCACTAAACAGTTGGATAGTAAAACAATTAGGTATGTTTAGTTTCAACATATTAGTA